CAATTTAACATTTCAAACCTCAAAATCGACACATCAAGACTCCTAAAACTGGTCTTGAACATCCAGAATTTGTGTGACTGAATCATTTCATGAGATCTACCTGTATGGGGACACCCCAGGCGATGTGGACATTTTTTTTGTATTCGTCCATCCAAACTTCTGCCACTCTGAGGGCATTTCTCTTCATAACATTACTAAGGTCAGACATGTAGGGTTTGTGTGCTCTTTCAATGTGGGCAACTTTAGAGCAGGGAACAATCTCTATACTTCCTCCACACAGCCACACCTGAGCCCGAGAAAAAGCAACACTGAATATAGTATAACATATAAAGTTTAATATAATATAATATAAATCAGTAGAATGATCATGTGCTTTACCCGAATTCCTAGTTCAACATTCTCTCCTCCGTACACCTGCATCCCTCCATCCAGAGTCCCAATCTCACCGAAGAACAGACGATCAACCACAAGTATTCCCATTACGGAGGGACTCCTGGAGAACAGGAGAGTCACGAACGCACATCAGAGAACAAAGCAAGGTGACCATTTGAGCTTATAAAACTTCAACTTTTGAAGAGTGATCGTTTCGCTTGATAAGACCCTTATTCATCGTCTGGAATCGCTTAAAGCCCTTTGAACAGTTTGCACTGAAACTGTCTTTCTGACCTTGAACCGTTTGGTTCCCACTGAAGTGCATTATATGGAGAAAATCCTGGAATGTTTTCATCAAAAACCTTAATTTCTTTTCGTCTGAAGAAAGAAAGACATGGATATCTTGGATAACATGGGGGTGAGGAAATTATCAGCAAATGTTTTTTTTTTTTAAAGTGAACAACTCCATTAAGAAAATCTCAAAGGAACTGGTCGTGAATTAGTCTTCCGGGTTATACCTGCACCACTCGATTTAGAGCTGCACCATGACAGGTCTGAAAGTCAATTGTGACAGACGTTTACAGAAGTTATATTTGGACTTCGATCGATGCATTTTGGGCAGGTCTGGAGCAGTGTTTTCTTTTAGATAGAATAAAGAGCTTTTGTGGAAAACTTAGTAAATTTACAGATCTTATACATGCACTAACAGATGCATTACATACTAAAGAGTCACATCTTAAACACAATATTAGACAAAACACACACTCACTTTCCTGGCTGTGAAGGGTCTTTTTGATCATACCACTTTTGTGGGAAAGCCACGTACGTGCACCAGAGAGACCAATCAAAACCATGAGCAGAGGCAGGATATTTTACCAATTCCAAGTCATAGTAATTGACTTTGTCAAACACTGGGCTCAGGACCAGCGTGCGATCAGCCTGGATACGTGCAAGCAGAGGCTCCGCCCTAAAAGTGAAAGAGTTCTGAGAAACTGTGAAACTTCTTGAGAAATTTCATTATTACACTGTTATTGTGTTCCGTTGTCTGCCTCTATGGTGGTTGTTCACAAGTGTTGTCATTGTTAACTAAAATTAAAGCTATTCAAATAATTAAAAGCTTTAATTGAAATAGAGCTGAAATACAATAAAATGTAAACATAACAAGATTACTAAAATTACAAACCATTTGACATGGACCTCAATGTGGGCGTCCAGGATGGCAACCACATCTCCGGTGGCAGCCTCCCAGCCTGAGATTCTGGCCTGGGACAGGCCTTTCTGCTCTGGATGGGTCACCATCTTCACCAGGCCTGGGTGCTTCTCATTGATGGAGCTGACATAAACATTCAGCTTTGTCTTCAGCTCTTCTATGGAATACATACATCCAGAATGACTAGCTCAGTGTGTTTTACAATATGCATCTGAGACTACAGGATTTGATGAGGTTTTGAGAGAAAGAAACCATTTGTGCTGTGGTCGTCCACCAGTATGATCTCTTTGAGCAGGTGGGCTGGAGTTCTGTTGATGATGCTGCAAATGGCTCTTTGAATGACAGACAGAGCCTCATCCAGATAAATCAGTACCACGCTGATGGTGGGCAGATTGTTCGGATATTCACGGCCAATGCATCTACAGAACAATGACAAAAGGAAAATTGATGAATCCATCAAGAACGTCAAAGCATTTCCATGAGCGTTCGAAACTCACCTGTGGTCTCGGGTGTCCGGCAGCTCCCGGTCCAGAGGGATCTGGTCACTGAGGAAGGCATTATAGCCGTATTTCTGAAAGAGATCCTCAGCCTTCCTCTGGTCGTCCTCAGAAAGTTCCACAGTCCATTTCATGAAGAGATACGAGTTTGGAAACAGCTTCTTTGCTGGTTTCTGTTCATTTCTTATTTTGAGGCTTTTCTCTTCTGCAAAAACGTTTGTGTACGTCAATAAAATTTGTTAGAATTGAAACCTTAAAGCTCATATTAACAGATTTCTGTTGTTTGATCTATTTTAAAATCATTGTCTATACAATCACTTTAATGACTTGAATACAATCCAACCAAGTTTCTTCAAAACAGTGATTTAAATAATATTGTGTATGACAATTGTTATGTTATTTTTCTCAGAAATTAAAAAAAAAATCATTTAAAAAGAGATTTCCCAGCCATAGTGGCATAGTAACAGCTGGTTTCATTTTTTTAAAGCACTAAATTGCATTGCTGATGGAAAACCTTTGCATGATGCATTGCATATACACTCACCGGCCACTTTATTAGGTACCCCATGCTAGTAACGGGTTGGACCCCCTTTTGCCTTCAGAACTGCCTCAATTCTTCGTGGCATAGATTCAACAAGGTGCTGGAAGCATTCCTCAGGGAGTTTGGTCCATATTGACATGATGGCATCACACAGTTGCCGCAGATTTGTCGGCTGCACATCCATGATGCGAATCTCCCGTTCCACCACATCCCAAAGATGCTCTATTGGATTGAGATCTGGTGACTGTGGAGGCCATTTGAGTACAGCGAACTCATTGTCATGTTCAAGAAACCAGTCTGAGATGATTCCAGCTTTATGAAATGGCGCATTATCCTGCTGAAAGTAGCCATCAGAAGTTGGGTACATTGTGGTCATAAAGGGATGGACATGGTCAGCAACAATCCTCAGGTAGGCTGTGGCGTTGCAACGATGCTCAATTGGTACCAAGGGGCCCAAAGAGTGCCAAGAAAATATTCCCCACACCATTACACCACCACCACCAGCCTGAACCGTTGATACAAGGCAGGATGGATCCATGCTTTCATGTTGTAGACGCCAAATTCTGACCCTACCATCCGAATGTCGCAGCAGAAATCGAGACTCATCAGACCAGGCAACATTTTTCCAATCTTCTATTGTCCAATTTCGATGAGCTTGTGCAAATTGTAGCCTCAGTTTCCTGTTCTTAGCTGAAAGGAGTGTCACCCGGTGTGGTCTTCTGCTGCTGTAGCCCATCTGCCTCAAAGTTCGACGTACTGTGCGTTCAGAGATGCTCTTCTGCCCACCTTGGTTGTAACGAGTGGTTATTTGAGTCACTGTTGCCCTTCTATCAGCTCGAACCAGTCTGGCCATTCTCCTCTGACCTCTGGCATCAACAAGGCATTTCCGCCCACAGAACTGCCGCTCACTGGATGTTTTTTCTTTTTCGGACCATTCTCTGTAAACCCTAGAGATGGCTGTGCGTGAAAATCCCAGTAGATTAGCAGTTTCTGAAATACTCAGACCAGCCCTTCTGGCACCAACAATCATGCCACGTTCAAAGTCACTCAAATCACCTTTCTTCCCCATACTGATGCTCGGTTTGAACTGCAGGAGATTGTCTTGACCATGTCTACATGCCTAAATGCACTGAGTTGCCGCCATGTGATTGGCTGCTTAGAAATTAAGTGTTAACGAGCAGTTGGACAGGTGTACCTAATAAAGTGGCCGGTGAGTGTATATCAAGACAGGCAGGCGGACAGACAGAAGATTTTATGTTCCACAGAAGAAAAAAAAACATATAGGTTTGAATGACATAAGGTTGAGTTATGAATTTCCATTTTTGGGTGAATTAAAATAAATCAATTTTTGTTTCCTGACAACTTTAAAGAGTGCTTAAAGGGTAATATGTAAAACAGATAAACAAATCATTTTTGTCACATTTCATTACAAAGCATATTAGAAACTCACCAACAGCGTATAAATGAGCCTCCAGTTTGTCCAGCTTGTTGAGGAGAAGTGCGCTGTGTAACGAGAAATTCTGCTGGACTTGGTGAAGCTGCTTCTCTTGAGTTTGGATTTTCCACTTTACAGAACTCATATAGAGAAACACCACAGCGACAGACAAGACTGGAAACAAACTCTTCACACAGCTAACTCTCATGATGATCAGAAAAGCAAAATCAAGATGTTATCCTTCCTCCGGTCACCTGTTAGTCTGTGGGCACAGCCCATGTTAGATTTTATGATGCCAAACATGGTCACATTAATCTTGGGAAGGAGGAGACCAGGATATTGAATCCTGGTTAAACACTTCAAAAATATTCACTTGACCTCAATAATATCATTCAGCAAAATGAACCAGTCTGACATAAGACCTTTAAATTAATTTTCTCATGTCATGTGTTTTTGATTGATTTTGATTTAGAATGATTACAGAATTACAGAAGATTAATGATTACAGAAGGCACTTGTTACACCAATAACTATTTTATGTAATTGTTTTATTGAGAAACACCCACATAAAGTTCACCAAACTAGGAAAAGTCAGATATTTTATCTTAAGTCAGAATAGGCACACAGAGAGAGTATTCCCAAAGAGATTATCACCTGTTGCAGTTTTGAGTATTCACAAAACCTGCAGCATTGAAAGAGTTGACTTACAGTGTTGTGACATAATTTATAAAAAACACCCTGCCTCTGCAAGCAAGACTTCTTACAATATACATAGGCAATCAATTACCTTTAAAGACTTTGATGGCAGCTAGTCGCAAACCGAAATGCTGGCTGGGTGAGCTGGTTTTCAGTTTTATTTGCATATAGCACATTCAATTCAACTTCCAAAGAATATAGCCGTATATTCTCCACCCCCAGACGACTGTGGTAAGGACAGCTTCCCTATTGTTCCCCTCTCCTTTATTATGGCTTGTTTTGGCAACAAGAGGGAGACATGGCTTGAGCGTTCACTTAAGACAGGCGCTCTGAAATCGCCCCCATACCCTCATTCACTATTCCCTACATACAGTATATATATATATATATATATATATATATACTTCAGGGAGTGAATGAAAACGAGTGAGCAAATTCAGATTTTAGCATATTACACAGTCTTTAATGTTTATCAAAAAGTGCATATTTACAGAGCTAAAACACACCACACAAAAGACATTTAAAAATTTTACACTGACAACAAAAATTAATTAACTTCCTACTGCAAGTAATGTATTTCTTACAGTAAGTAAGTGTTGAAAGGCCTTAAAATTCTGGACAAATTTCAGTACTTTGAAAATAGACTTCTTACCATTTTTTTCTCTGCCATGGAAACCTAAAGATGTGCAGCTTCTCATTATATAGTTTCTTCAAAACTAGTCTGTTTAGTTCACAGCAGCATTTTGGTGAAGGGGTTTGATTGGAGCCCGACGGGAAAGTCCTAAACGCAGGCCCTGTCCAGGAGACTTCATAGGTGCATTCTGAGACGCACCGGGACTCCGGCCAACCAGACCTGGAAATGGATTTAGAAAGAATTTACAACAGGACCACAAATACAGCAGTTTTTCCTTTTTTTGCCAGGCAAAAAATCTTTGCATTGATGATTTCAGCCTGTAGTCTCACCAGGGGGATTCCACTTGGGCAATTTGCCCCCTGCAGGACTGGAGCAGAGAGCAGGTTTAGAGATAGGTGGAGTATTTGGTGTCTTCTTCAGTCCAGACACAGGAGCAGCTGGACTCCGACAGATCGCTGGGCTGGGAGCTGTCAAAAAGAGAGAGATGTTAGTATGGCACCTCTTTCATTGGACGGTAAAATGTAGGATTTTTACACTTGGCAGGTTTGGTTCAATTGAAATGAACTCTGGTGCGATTGTTCTGTTCACCAGACAAGTGGACTAAGACCCATGAAAAGGTGGATCTCGCTCCGCTTCCAAACGAACTCTGGTACAGTTCGACAGAAATATGAGCGCAGCAAAGACCAAAGCCATCTAAACCAGCCAAAACCAGGACCAGGACCTGATGTCACAAGATGCGACCCCTAAAAAGGACAGAATACTCAAGCATACCTTTTTTCTCATCATAGGAGAGAAAATGCTACTCTTTACAGTTCAGTATAGGCATCAGAAATGCTGTCTACTTGCAGCAGATCTCTGTTTGGGTGTGTGACGGAGGGATTCCTTGCACTATTTTGACTCCCTCACACAAACTCTTCACGAGTTCTCAGCTGGTAAAAATACCATGTATACACATACAATGAGCGCATTTAGCCCAGCACACAGCATTGTTTTGGATGTTCTGTAAGTTTTGTCGCAAAATATATGTTAGAAAAGCTGTTTTTTGTTTTGTATCTTTAGGTTCAGTGTTAAAAATGACTAAGTTTTGCACAAAATATTTTTTTTTTTGTACCTTTAGTTTTGGTGTTAAAAATGACAGTGTGAACCAGGACTAAATGTATGATTTTCTCTTTTGGTCCAGAGTCAGACCAAAAGAACAAAGAGAAACTAACTACAAGTGTGAACACACTCTTAAGAGCAGAAAAAAGTACCTGAGGTTTTAGCTTTTGAGGCATTTGGGGCTTTCGTGGGCTTTTTGTCTTTCTTTTCCTTCTTGTCCTTCACAGGAGGTGGTGCCTTTTTTTCTGTCTTTAGTTTCACCACCTTTATCTTCTTCACCGTGAATGTCTCGTCTTCACTTTCATCTTCTTCAGTGAAGTCTGCATCACTCTCCGAATCTGCAACCGGAACAACCATAAATAAATGCCCACATTTTGAATCAGTAGGATTAAATTTCATCATGAAAACACTGAAAACATGTGCATCAGAGGCCAGTCCAGGTCCATGTAACTTTAAAAAGTATCTACTAAGCTTTTAATATGTTCAACTTTCTCTATTGTGTAACTTTGCTGTTTGAGCATGAAAAAGGTCACAATATTCCAATATTTAAATAATTCCTGTCCAAAGCATACGCAAAATAAAGAAACAAGTCCTGCTTCAGTTAGTTAGAAGTGTGTTGAAACTTGCAGTCATGGTAAGGAGTGTGACATTTCCCAAACACACTCAAAGTGGTTGACCAATCACAACACACTGGTCCAGTCGACCAATCAGAGCGCATTGTGCTTTTCAAAAGGAGGGGCTTCATAAAGACAGGACCTAAACAGAGAGTTACTGACTGACTGGAAAAAGAGGTGCTACAACAATGTCAAACATGTGATTTTTACATTCCAGCATGAAAACATGCTCTATTAGACCCCCCAAAACCACATTTAAGACTTTGTAAAAATACATAATATGGCCTCATTAATTAAGTGAAGGTCCTCAGATTACCTGGTGTGTTTTGCGGCTGGTAGTCCTCATCAACTTTGTTGTCCTTCTCCTTCAGTGTTTTTTTCTGTTCTTTTGAGGCATCAGTCTGTTTGGAAACATTGGTAGGGGAGGCATCCAAGCTGATCAAATTCAGCCCTGAAAACAAAGACAATAATAAACACATGATAGGCACACATGCATAGAAAATATAACATTTGTTTTTTTTTTTTTTTACCCTTTGAAATTTCAATTTTGTTAACATTAATTGTTCATATCTGTATAATGACAAGCCTGCATTACCTAAACTTCTGCCATCAATGCAACAATTTGACAGCACAGGAGGAAGATCTGGATGGGGATGACTATCATCTACTGTACAAAATCAAGCACAGAGTTTTATTTAGAGAAAAGGTTTTTGCATGGAAATGTCGAATAATGTTGCATAAATATGTACAAATAATCATAAAAATACAGAAGAGAAGAGATAATCAGTTTGTGACCAGTAAAAAGACACAATTTTGTTGTTACCTATATGGCTGGCATCAGCACTACAGTGTATCAGAACAGGTGGAGAACATTGATTAGGCTGAGACACATCACAATCATCTGCAGAACACAAAAAGACAATAAATAACAGTAAAATACAGCTTTGCACTTCACAAATGAAGGAAATACTTAGACCAGCAGAATATTCACCTGTTTTGGTTGTAGGCTCTCCATCTTGTGTTCTTGGAGAGCTTAGCAATGACAATGTTAGAGCTGTCTCCAAATCTCTGTCATAAAGTTTATCATCCAGAGATGCCCTGAAATAACACAACAGTAAAGGGTCAATGGTGTCATTACATACACTCATTGGACTGTGGTACATTAATACTTTTCTGTGAGTGAAATGTGTTTTGAAAAGGCAAAAAAAAAAAAGCTTTTTGTAACCTCTTCCTGCTTCCTGGGCTGGTGAGAATAACAACTTCATTTGGAGATGCACTTGTAGTCTTGTGGTTTCTCTCTGAAACAGCCGTTCGAGCTTTTTTGGGAGGAGGTTTCACACAGGTAAAGTCCTCATCTGTCACATAAATCATGGAAACATCTTTATAGGTTCTAAGTGATTTTAAAGTGATATCCTTAAAGCAAATCAGATGTCTCACCATCATCGTCTTGGAAGACTGAGTAGTTAACAGCTTTCCTATTTCTGATGACAGGTAGAAAACACAGTTTGCATCAACGAGGACACTGACTTTCCAGATATATGAACTCAAGGTGATTGATTATGAAAATATCAGTAAGTATCAGGTCATTACGAAAGACAAAGACAGCTGTCAAGATGCAAGCATATATGGAAAGTGACAAGACAACACTAATCTAAGGCACTGATTAACTCATTAAACGTTATATAACGTTAATACGCACCTAGAAGGTCTGTCCATAATTTTGTGATAAAAGAGAATAAAATCGCACTTTAAAGCGCTATGAACACTGACACTACTACCGTGTTTTTCTACTAAGTTACCTTTCGTGATAGCTATTGTTCAAATAAAAAATATAAGTGGCGATATTAGAACGTCTGTATTTGTGTCATTTTGTTTTGTGAGCAGCAGAGGCAGACAGTCCCGCCTGAAAACAAACTACGGAAATCTACCTGAATATACGAATTTGCAATTCACTATAAGCGTGTCTACTGTTGTGTTTCCAGTTCAACACAAATTAAGTGATTAAAATATAATAGTATTTTTCAATTATTATATGGTCTTAAAACCTCGACGAAACTTGTTTCAAAGGTGCACGAGCTTTGTGCGTTTTTTTAAATGTTGAATCTGCGGATACGATTCTAAGCGTGGACGCGGAGATCACGTCACACGAAAAAAAAGTTTTTTTTCTCTCTATATTTAGATTTTACTTATTTATTTTTGATGTTTATCATAATGTACCACCTTGGTGTATTTGTAAATCTTAATAATAATAATAATAATAATAAATAATTATAATAATTCGATATTTTTGTTAGATGTTAATAACCTGATGATTCTTTGCTGATTTAAAATATATAATGTTACATCCTCTCTTAGTAAAGGGTTTCAAATAGTTTAGGATTACTTCACAGAATATAGGCTATTTTGGTAATAAATAAATGAATAAAAAGTTTGAGATAATGATAGACTATATTGCAATATTAGCCTAAAAGCAGATTTAGATTGAACCAACCATTAAGACTTGAAATTTCAGGCCCTACATCAGAAACTTCTATTGAGTAAAATAAAAATGTATCCTACTACATATTTCTTATGAATTGCGTAACTCAAATTTCTTTTTTTAAATTTTACATAAGAAACTGTAAAATGTCATTTTTCAAAACATGTCAAAACATGCTGCTCTCTAATCAGCTACAATATCTAAATCCTCTTTCTAGTACAGCTTTAACATAACCAGGTCATAGTGTAACCTAAAGGGCTCTCTCTAAGGCCTTTCCTTCCAAAAATAACCAAAGTGCAGCCTTTGACATTGGAAACAAAACAGAATGTGGAAAGGTTTATTCTTGGAGACTCAGATTTCAGATTGATTCTGAGTGTTCATTATTCCCCTCTAATGACAGGAACCTGAGATGTTAAACCAGATAGCTTTCCACTGAGGGACAAGTTCAGTCAAACAAATCTCACAGTCCTGTAACCAAAAGGTGATAAACAGATGATATTATCCAAATTAACTCGCTTTTTTGCAAAGATTATTTTTCTTTTTTCCTCATTCTTTTCATCTTTGAAAATGCCTGTTTATGTCATAGCTTACTGTTTAATGCACATTCAAATAAATAAATGTAAAAAACGAGCGTACTTTACTGCAAGATGAATAAGACACAAATAAATCACAGAACATATTTTCTTTAATCATGAAAAAAACTTTTATTTAATAAAAACGAGTAAAACGGGTATTGCCTATAACATTTCCCTGCACATCTAACATACATTTTAAAGCATCCATATAAATACCATAAATAAAACATATGTAATTACTTAAATAAATAAATACTTTCTTGGTTAATTGTTATCCACGGGTGGTGTCCAGCACCAAAGACAAATTCATGGGGGCAGGTGAAAAAAAACAACAACGCAGGTTCTTCAGATTTGGTGGGATGGAGATATTAAACAGCCTAAAGATTCTGCAGATCTATGTGATTTTTAATATATGTCCTTTAAAAGATTTATTTATGACCATTGATGAAAATATGGAGTCACACTCATACGTTGGCGGGTCCACAGTCACCTGGAGGATCGAGATGGTCTATCCGACAATTGCTGAAATCCGGGGACTGCCGGGGCTTGAGTCGTGAAGAAGGTCCCAAGGGTCATCATCGGATGGGGAAACTAGGGTTTCTCTGGAGATGTTTTGTCCCTCTGATGGCTCAAAGTCCAAGTCCGCATCGTCCTCTTGAGCAGCTCTGGAGTCTGACTCCTCTCCGTACCGGAGCGCGTTCAGTGGGTCTGACGGATTCACCTGACGGTTCCTCCGCTCCCGGTGCTGCAGGCGCTCCAGTGGGACAGTGTTCTTCTCTGATAAGAAGAGAGATGACTGAGGGAGGTTTTGTCCAGCTATGAACACCTGTTTTGCCCCATCCAGGTTAAGCAGTACGCCATGCTTGGTGGAGTAGTACACGTCACGATTGTTCTCCAAAAGTTTGTGGTGAAAAAGACAATCTTCTTTATTGCAGACCGTCTAAAGACATACAGAAATATACCAATAGTAAAATAACAAATCCAAAGAAGGCAAAGTGTCATGGCTATTGTTATGTACCAAGAGGTATAAGGGCCATTCACACCAAGAACTATAACATAAACTATAACGATAACAATTGACCGTTGCCATATTCCCGGGTTTCTCACAAGCAGAAGTCATCATAGTAGGGTAAACTTCTATAGTGAACGAGAGACTACATTAAACATGTTTTTCATGTTCCCATTTGCTCAAATAGCAAAAAAGAAAAACTCCACAATAGTGTTTCGCAACTTTCAAAAGAGGGGAAAAAATAGAGAGCTGTCAAAATTTTACCGTCACTCCCACAGCGGCTGAAAAACAAAGGCTATACCCTCAAAGCTAGAACTAGTTTTTGTAATTTGATGCAAAGGTATAATGCAATTTAGAAATGTACATACATTTAAATAATAAACTTTCTGGGGCTGATGATGGCCCGTAGAGGACAATTTGTTCTGTAAGTGATTCCAACTATCTTTTCTCTGTGCCATTATGGTTAGTTGTGGTGTGTTATTCTTTGATTGGAACAATTTTCAGCACAAAATCTTTATAGTTCTCGTTATAGTTCTGATCCTTGGTGTGAACAGGCCTTATAGCTATTAATAATGATCTCTGTGTGTAACTTACACAAGATTAGCCTTACTTTTTATACTTTTTTTTCTTTTTCACCCTTTTCAAATGTATTTGATTAAAAACTTACAGATGTAAAAAGGGTCCCTCCTGCGTCCATGCACAAAAATCGGTTGCTTTTCACTCCAAATATTGCCAGACGGTCTCTGCTCTCTGCCTTCAATAAAATTACACCTGTTGAAATCAGGATTTAAATAAGATTAAACTGTGGAGATATAAAGGACAGTGTTTCATTTGAAAAAAAAAATGCTCAGACTGGTGTAGTTTGACTTTTATTTTACTGGTATTAAGTATCGGTGGCATCATCTTTATGCCTATGAAAAAACAGCAGGTATAGGGTATACTCACTGAAGGACCCCCGGTTTGTAGTTTTGCGCACATGTCCGTTCGGACTGATCTCCAAGTAGAAGTTGTTTAAGTCTGAAGTTGTCTGAAGGTGGATGAATCTCCGCGGGTTCCCCCAGTTGGAGCCCAGGAGAGGAGAAGGGTTGGGGGCAGCATCCGCAGGTCTGAAGCCCTGGAAAGCTGTGAACCACAGCGCAAGGACAGATGAGTGCAGCATGTGCAGGTTGGAAAGTGCGCAACGCATCTTCACAGAGCGCAGAGTATCGGTGCGTAAAACCAGTGTGCAGAGCTGAAGAGGTTGTGATGCGTAAAAGTTTGTGAGCGTGGCTATTTAAACGCATCCTGTGCCACTCCTCGCCAACCTTTACGCAACACTCGCCCCCAGAGCCAGAGGATGTGAGGGGGTGGCTTCAACATGTCCACCTTGTTATGGAGGTAATTGACATGCAAACCATTATTGGTTTGTCAATTTGCCACAAATTTGACGTTCTATGTGTCTTAACTCACGGGATATAAAGAGACAAAGTACCTCTCGGCTCATATCAGTAGTTATTTTGCATCATTTAGTGGCCTCCAAATGTTTCTCAAATGTTAAGATGTATAGGCTTGCGTTTATTTAAATAGAGATTCTCTAACCTATGAATTGACTTCTCTGCACGATCAGTAGGCTGAACGGACATTTTTAACTAAGTCGCTGTGGATAAAAGCGTCTGCTAAATGAATAAATGTAAATGTAATGTAAATGTAGTATATGACCCCAAACTTCCTCGTGTTGACCAGCAGAGGGAACTTGTGCTTCATTCACGAACAGAACAGGGACCGATTCAGATGGTGCAAACATGAACATAACTGCATGTGTAGAGAATATAAAGATATAACAACAACAATAATCATAAAAGAATACAACGATTTTTTCATTACAGCAACAAAAGTGGCCAAAATTGATGTCGGGCCTGAGAAAATTTAAACTGTGTTCCTTTGTTAAACATTTTTTGAATTTCGTAAAGATTTTATAACCATTGCTTGGCTTTGGATTCTTTTGTGTGTGTGTTTTATGAAAACGCAATGAAACATGACAAAATGTGCGGACATCATTTTTGGTCATACAAAGAAATTAGGAACACATGCAAAAACGAACTTGCCAAAAACACATTAATAACTGATTATGTTGGGGTCAATGTATGCTTTTTCCTTTATATGTTTTATGTAAAATAGGAAAATAAAACCTGTAGTTTGCCTCTTTTTTCCTTTTTTTTGCCAAATAATTTTGTCAGATAACCTTAGTGTTATGTTCCTCCCTCATATTTAAAATATCTTCATATTTTGATGATTTATTCAAATCAAAATTATAGGGTCATAATAACTAATATCCCTCCAGATATCACTTTTGGTCATACAGTGCAGTCTACTTAAACTTGTTATTCTTTATATTATTCTTTATCATATTTTCATTCCTTAAATACTTATTCTTTTATATTTTATTATAATTCCAAAAATAGAAAACAAACAGGAACAATTTGTGAAGAAAAAGGAACTAGGCACGGATAATGGCAAGTAATTAAATCTAAAAAAGTAAACATTCCATAACATTCACTAACACTACAATACTAACACACACACACACACACACACACACACACACACACACATATATATATATATATATATATAACTCTCAAACTTAAATTTATACATATGAATCAGACAAAAATTCAAATAACCATGACAGGGAAGAAGTTTATGAATACTTGCGATTAGTTTATTGAACTGTTTCATGTTGTATAAATGATCCTGTATGAGTGTGACATCCTGACAGCATGACTGGAGTGGCAATTATTTCTTGAAAAGAATCAGTTCTGACTGCTCACTGTACGTGCTACTTTGAGCATAATTAAAATGTGAAACAAATACACACATATATGAAAAAAGAAGAAAAAAAGAAATAGTTTTATTAACATCTGGAACATGATTAAACTGCTGTGCACAGCACATACGTAGAAAAGTAAAGGAAAAAAATATTTTTCAATAAATCTGTATTTATACACAGCGTCAGCGTTTGTTTTTAGAAACACATGATTATGTCCTCAGTTTTCTGTCAAAAATCATTGCAGGAAATCTTAACTAAGGCAAGGGTGAGAGATGTGTTTACAAAGAGGAGCGGACAGAAAAACAAAACAGCCACACAAAATCCTGGATTGTACCAATGTGTGTGTGTGTATATACATACACAAACACACACACACACACACACACACACACACACATATATATATATATATATATATATATATATATATATATATATGTGTGTGTGTGTGTGTGTGTCAAAACCTGCTAAGGGGTAATAATGGAACAAGTAATTTCTAACAAATATTTACAATAGGATCTACATTTTCATGGGTTTAAATAAAAATATTTTTCTTATATGAGACAATAAAAATAACTTTGTGCATCAAAACCCCTCTTTTCCTGGTAAAAAAAAAAAAAAAAAAAGAACTTGGTTTTCAAAAGTCAATGAATTTGCAACAGCTGAATAAAACATTTTGGACAAGACAAACATGTCAGTCTCTGAATTACAAAATTAACTTCATTCAGTAAAATAAGTATAATGAACACAAAAAGCATTTTGAACGTCTCCAGCACGTTTATAATAACCCAAACACCCCTCGTGCACATTATCACGTCCGTCAATAGCTTGCTGGCTGTCGGTTGGAAAATTCTAACTAAAAATATGGACATAACACACTCATGGGCATCAATCACTTCACTGAATAAATAGTATAGGCTTACAATTCATCTGTTTTCAAATCCACATCATTTGAATACCCCGACATCAATGTCTGTCAAAAAATAATGTGCACACTACACTGTAGTAGAAGCAGAGGTCCAGCGAGTCACGCATTTTCTGGAAAACCCACACTAGCCTACCGGATGTTTTGACTACGAAGGAGAAAAGGGCAGCATGAGCGGCTTCAATGCTGTCTGTCAGAGACAATAACGAACAGAATACATTACACATGTGAGTGTATTTGTTCTTCCCTCACTGAAATTGAATGGGAATGATCAGAGAATTAAGTGAAATACGTCACACTGCATGCTACAGAGAATAAACACCAATCCAATTGAAAATTTCACCCGAGTTAGTGACCATTGTTCAAGGTTTTTGATACAATTTTGTTTCATTTTCCAATAAAATATACTTTTTTTTTTACATGAATTGTTACATTTAATTATCCCATAGCAGATTTGGACTCATATCCTTTCTTATTTTCCTTTATCTAATTTGTCTGTTTACCCTTTAACAAATTGAAGTGGCTTATGTATTGTAGTAGCCTATGTAATGTGCTAGTGTCAAAAAAAGATATAAAAAAAAAAAAAATCCAGAAATCACTCTGAATGAATAATGACCCCCCTCAGACATCGGGGTCTATCCTCTCACTGTAACAGGATCAGCCACACAAAAGCCATTTCAAAACAAAAACACTGCAAAGCCAAGAACTGGCATCCCATTCTAATGCCCAGTGCTTCCTGAAAGCCTCCCTCCATATGCGAGGAGGATTCAGACGGTGACAGCTTGCAGTCATTCATGCACATACGTTTTTCTCATGAGCGTTAGGAGAGTGTACCAGGAAGCTGGTGTCTATATTCTATGCCCAATAAACATTTTTACAGCTGTTGCTATAAATCCAAGCGACATACATCAGCAGATGAGAAGGCTCCGATTCCCAAATGTTCACGCACATCGCTCATTCTTCAGTCATAGAAAAAAAAAGGCTCAGTGGGGTTCTATATAAAACCCTAGGGTTCTTGACTCAATTTTAAAGCCAAAAAAGTTCTATATAAGGAGAAATTTCTTAAATGACTGCATAATACTTTCATAATTAATGTGTTATTTTAATATTTTTGTAGTGATAAAGTATGTTGTTTCATTAAAAAAATGTAATTGAAAATGAATTAAAACATTCATAAAATAATCCACGATGGAACCCCTAAAAGGTTCTATAAGCGCTTACAGAATCCTTTAAGGTTCTATATAACCTTTTCTTCTGTTGTCACAATGAGGACACACTCCCTGATTTCACTCCCCTATTCTTAACGCTTCATTAGTGCTCAAGATTACAACACATTCAGAAGACATACTGTATTAAAATAGATTTATAGGTTGACCATGCAGTATAGTTTGCTAAACCGATTAATCCTTGATCTTTATTGAATCAATTCATCTTAAAATATGGTTCTAATGAAGCCAAAATGTTAGCTTATCCACTGACATCATTAAATGTGTATGAAAAGCTATTAAATAGTGACATTTATGTCTTAAAGGTGTTTTATTGTTTTTGTAGACTCACAGTGATTTGAATTCTGAGGCACATCAGCTAAATACAGTCCTCAATGGCACAGCAGAAAAGACTGAAGAGATTTGCTAATGTACAATAATGACTGAATGCCTTTAACATCTTTTAACAGATGAGACCACAGAACAAGCAGCGTGGCATAGGCAAGAAATTATTAGGCATTTTTGTCTCCCAAGTATTGCAGAGGTCTGTCCTGATATCACTGCGCTAGGAAGGAGCCAGTTCAATTTTCAAAAATTTTTTTTTTAAATATTACCTTTTATGCTTTGTTTAATACAGCTGTTTGTCAATGTAAAGGGTCTACAAAGTTTTAAAGATTACAGTGCATGACAAGTAAAGTTATTGTCTTCCAAAAGAAAGAATCGATTCTGAACTGCATGAAACAAGTCGTCATTAATTCGTCTCACTTCATGTTGAATATCCATGTTGCAACAAATTTGCATAATGCCAGCCTATGGTCATTATTGGCTGCCTGTGAACGACATCTACATTGACCTGCCCTAAAACACTGCTATATGTAGCTGAGAGTGGAGTTTGGTTTATTTTGTCATCCTGTCGAGAAGATGATATTTTTTGCGCTGTGAAAGCAATTCCACTTAGCATAAACTTCCAAAGGATGAGGACTCAGGCTCGAATTTATACAGTAAAACCGACGCCATCGTTACTGTATGTTTCACTGTGCATCAATCGCTGAGGATGCCTCCGGAGATGAAATTTAGATATAGTAATGGCCGTTTCCAACAGTGGACCAATCACAACAGACTGGGCCATCTGACCAATCAAAGTAGAGTAGACTAATCACAACAGACTGGGCCGTCTGACCAATCAGAGCAGAGCAGGCTCTCGGAAAGGAGGGGTTTAGAGAGAATGAATCTTCGAATTAACCGTTTTGAAATTGGGAGGAATGAGGTGATGCTGAAATGTATATAATGAGAAAATTAAAGTGTTTTTTGACCTTGGATGCATGTAAACTTGTTTGCAGGAATCTCCAAAACAAAAAGAGGAACCATTAAAATTGCATATGGGGCACTTTAATAACCCAAATAAGGTCATTTCACTAATGGATAATCACTAATAGAAATTGTGTTGGATTTGGCTGGTTCGTGGTGATTGGAGATAAAATCACAAAGCCAGATTCTTAAAGTAAACATGAACCTGTTTTTCTGATGAATTTGAGTGGATATTTGGAATAATGTAGACCAATAAATCGTGCACAGACCAGGAACTGGGATAGTAAAGTAAATGGATGATTGTGAGGAGCAGGAAAGAACCCAGGATATGTTGGTATCAATAGCCTCGTGCCGACATATATACCGTGCTTCGGCCCGGGAGACCCGAGTTTAAATCCCGGCTCACGGACCTTTCCTGATCCCTTCCCCCTCCCTCTCTCCCCCACTTCGCATCTCCTATCATATCAAAAACATCAAAAATGAATCATAAAAAAAGAAAGATATCAGGATCCAAATAAATGCTATCACACAATAATGGACTTGTATTAAGTGATATTGGAATAATGAGAAAAGGAAACGAGACCTTGGTTGGGCATTTTCGACCTGTTCAACTCTTGTGCATAGCTACGACCTTGGACTAAAGTTGGATGGAAAACCGGAAAGAACCCTTGCACTACAGGAATCTCAAGGCTTCTGGACACCGTGGCTTTTACAAGACTGTCTATGTGCGAGAGGGACGTCAACAGCGGGGCCTCTGCTCAGGTATTCCACCCCCACCCACGAGGACTCACATACTTCAAACAGATTGAACAAACAACCAGGCCATGGTGTCCCATAAGTCTTTCTAAAATAGTGTCATTCCTTTTGATTTCCCTTTAAGGCAAGACAGCCAAGGTGAATAGGGAAAAAATAACGAACAGATTTCACTTCCCAAGCTGGTGACATGTTTTTAACTTTCAGAAAAACTGGATTAAGCCATTTTGTTGACGTATTAGAGATAAAGGTTTTTACAGAGGGGATTTTGTACATCTTTTTTATCAAAAAATATTTTCACCATGTTTTTCTGAATAAAATCAGGCAAACTATATATGACCGAAACCCTTTGTAAAAACCTTCAGAATACAGTTAGGAATAAAACGTATACTTTTTGTTTATGGCAAGCCATTTTAGTTCAATATGTTCCCAGGTTTACTCATCATAAAGTAAAAATGCAATTACGACAAGTTGCTGGGAACACTTTAAGCTAAAACTGCTATTTTTATTTTTATACTCTTTCGTCACCACAATAGTAAGCATTCTGTCCGACTTTTGTAACCAGTTGCACATGTGCATTGAATTTGTTTTGCACTAATCAGTTGTCCCAAAAGGTTGCAACAATGGCCCGGCCGTTGTTTCACAGTATAAAAAAACGAAACCAAAGAGACGAAACAACAACTACAGAATACCGGAGACTGCAACAACAACAGATGCCCGCATTGACAAGCGCTTGTGTGAGGGGGTTAAGAGATAGCCACACCTTTAGTTCAAAAGAATACAAAGACATTGTTAATCGGTCATAACTTCAGGAGAAAAATAGCACAGACACTGGACAAAGATGAAACTTTCTAGAGCGCCTGCGTTTGTGCAGTATACTTTGGGCTGTAAAGTCCTGCTGAAGTGGAGAAACACCTCACAGGCTTTAGGCATATTGCTATGTCTGTCCACTAGCAATAGTAAAAAAGTATTGTAAGTGAAATCAACAGGCACAAATAGATCAAATGTAACGTCTATTTTAGATGCATTCTTAGTCCAAAACAACACAGGAAATCCAAATAGCCCAAAATCTCAACATTGACCTGTGAAAAAACAATGTTCTTGCCTTAACGATGGGGCAACATTTGGTGACAGAAACTGATGCGAACAAATGCAGGCGAACCAAAATCATAAAAAAACAGTGAGCGTCCCTCAGTTTGGATGCCACAGCGTCTACCCTGTAATTACATTTGCATAGAGCAGCAGTAACGGGTGCCACTGCAGTGCCTCTGCAGCAACAGGAAAGAGTCCAGGCTCCACTGTCCTCCTCTACCAGGATTCACACACACACACGCACGCACGCACAAACAGGCATCCACATGGACAGGTGCGCGCACACATACACTCACACACCAGAAGCAAAAATAAATAAATATATACTGCACGTATTCCCTTGAATCAGATGCCATCATTGACGGCAGTGTGCCTTTAGCAACAAGCGACAAAAGCTCAGGGCTACTGGCTTCTTCAGTGCACAGTCAGTATTTACAGCATTTTCATTGGTTTAGAAGACGTTCTCATTCACAGCAATGCTTAAAGCTTATTTTCAAGTGCTCCTTTTGTTCAGGCAAACCTGTGATAAGCAATAGTATAATTGAACCAGCCATTTTCAATGTGCGCTTGCATCAGTTCCCCTGTAGATTTCACATTTTTTCTTGTTGTCCCCCCCTACCCCCACCCCCGTTTTCTTTATAAAAAAAAGTTTCAATTGCAAAAACATAAGAAATTCGAGTCCAAATAAAACGTACAGCCTCAAAGCTCCAACAGGGCTTCTGCTAGAAAAGATCACGACAGCAGACGATTCTGAACGCAGCCTCTTCATGAGTCACTCTCGCACCTCATACGGCGTTCTCTGATTAGAGAAAGGTAAAATAAAGCAGAGATGCACACCCCTCCCCCTCTCCCCTCTTCGGGGCCTTTGTGGGAGAGTCCCCGCGGGGCCCTGGCTAACATATCAGCCCTATTTCTGACGCCCCGGGGCGTTCAGAGCATGCATGTTAAAGGGGCGGTGTGCGGGAATGCCAAGGCACCTCAGCGCAACATGCAGCAGGAGAGATCTGCTTTCTTTTAAGTGCTCACACAACCCTACAGCATGAGGAAAAACAACAAAACAACTGTCAAAGATACAAAAATAAGGACTCGTTATGCTTGTGTCGGCTCAGACAGAACTAAAAATAAACAAGCGTTCGTCTCTGCGTAACTTCATGCATCCATTTAAATGAGGTAATAAGCCGAGAACTGTAAAAAGCAGAGGAGGACTTCCATCATCCATCCCAGAGTCTGTTCAATTCTTGGAAGCACCTGACTAGGGAAAGGAAGGCTGGGGAGCCTCCACATCCATAGTCAATATATATATGTTTGTTTATATATATATATATATATATATATATATAAATAAAAGAAAGAAGCAGCGACGGATAGCATATTCAGAGATTCTGATAAAAAGCTGGCCTATCCAAATATACATATAAAAAAAGAATAAGTACTATTTTGGTGATATTCTTGCAGTTCCTTTAAATGTTCGTGTGTCAGTTTTCAGATCTCTCGGGGAGACCAGTGCAAATGAAGAACTATTGCAAGAGTCTGCTCATATTCGAGGGAGGAAGTGGGTGACCGTCATGGAGGTGGTGGCCTTGTTGCCTCGCTTCACTCGGCCGTGTTTGCTGAGAGCGACGTAGAATCCCTTGTAAATGGAGGACTCGTAGGCATTGTAGTTATTTGGCAGCAGGGTCTCCTTGAACTTGCATTCATCTTTAAAGGTAGCCTGAAAGGAGGACAAGAGAAGGGATGTGAATGCCAGCATTCGGTGAGATGCAAATTTTTTTAATCAAATTAATGACAAACTTTGAGCGGTTTAGTCCAAATTTTCTGAAGAGACATGATCGCTTTATATGATGAACAGATTGAATTTAGGCTTTTATACACAACGCACACATCAGTTGTGGTAAACAAAAGCTCAAGGATGTCCCCTGATGTGCGAAAACCACTGACGTTTCAATGACGTCTAAATTAAATCTGTTCATAAAGCAATCGAGTCTCTTCAGAAAATTTGGACTAAATCAATCGATTTATATGGATTCGTTTTATGATATATTTATGCATCAAGTAGTTGCGTAGCTGTCAATGGAGGGACAGAAAGCTCTCATATTTCATCAAAAAGATCTTCATTTGTGTTTGGAAGATGAACGAGTTTGGAAAGACTCAAGGGTGAGTAATTAATTTGTTGCCTTGGCAATAAACAGAAACGAGTTTAATTAGATCTGACAGTACAAACAGATCTAATTCTCAAATTATCATGGCTTGATTTTGCTTAACAGCTAAATTGATAACATATTGAGAAAATGCACACAAAAGCAAAGAAACTTTAAACTTTAGTCTGGTTCAACATGACTACAAGAAAACCATTAACCTAAAGTATTAACCTCATATACTAATCCCAAACAGGTCTTTTAAGTAAAAATCAATTAATTATTTTACTGAGGACTGCTGGCCTGTGGAACAGTCTACTTTATCTCTGCTTCTCCAGGAGATGCTCTTCAAACACTCAGCAGTTTTTGGACAGAGCTGTCATGTGCTCATATGGCATTTTCTTTTCAAACATGGGATACACTTTATACTAAGTGTAAAGAATTAAATGCATATGACAAATAATAACCACCCCAGCTATTAACAATTCAAAACAACATCATTGTGTAAATGCAAGCAGCTCCACACACATTTTAATTGATGCTGTCATTGAGAGTTCTTAGATGAAATATAGATGAAAACTGCATTTAGGCTTACACATTACAAGTCTGAGTACTACTAATAACCTGATCTATATTACAACTACCAGCGAATAAAAAGAATGAGGTGTTTGTTTATAGGCTTAATGCAAGTAATTATAAACCTTTTGTTAGTGCTTGCAAGCTGCTTTGGCGCTGTGCCTGGATCTAATGCACCCTGAAATTCGTTTAATAATAATTTGCAAAAGCCGTGCAGCAGTTGCAAACGTCAACAAACCAGAGCACATTATATTTATAATGCATGAAAAAATGAATGCAGCACACATCCATGCACGCCGTAAACACTATTATTAGTCGGGTTGGGTACGAGCCCCCCTCGCACGAGCCAAATGCATGGATCATCAATTACTTGAAAACGCACAATGGAAGCATCACCTGTTTAACGCGCGCGCGCGCACACACACACGCGCACACACACGCACACACACACTCTGTCGTAGGGGATGCAAAGCCTCGTCGTATTGGCAGCAGGCAGAATGAAGGGAAATAGTTGCGCACACCTACCGTTCCGTACAACCTTCCTCTGCTATTCATTGCGACAAACAGCTTGCTTTTCACTCCGTACAGGCTAACCACTCCTCTGGCCACAGTGGAGATCTCTATGAGACCTGATCAAACAGAACAAGCATGTTACACACAACAAAGCGGCTCCGCGTGACTCAGAACAACAAGGCATGCGGTGGGTGGAACCTCTGCAGGTGCCAATTGTGGATGCGCAAATGGCCTCTCGCGCCACTAGGCTACTAGCCTACATTATTGCCAAAAGATGAACATCCCTCACACTTTGAGTGCATGTTCTAAGCGCTTCTGGGCCGCTCAAGGAGCCGGTGTAAAAATAAGTTGCCATCTAAATCCGTCCCAGCATTCATGTCATGTTTAAGCCCGCGCAGATATTTAGCACTAATGGATACGGTGTGTTTTAATAGATTTGTCTTCGCCTCCAAAGACAGCGGGCAGTGCAAGCACACCGCAAGTGTCGCCTATAGAGAATACGGAGGATATGCGCAATTAATGATTGCATTATTCCATGAACTCACTGTACTGGTTCTCATTATGTACACCGTTTATCTTGCCGTCAGGGAGGACCTGAAGATGAAACCCGATGCCTACATTGCAGTACAGCCTCCGCACTCTTTTGATGCCCAGCAAATAGTCATTCTCCCAGTTTGGCTCCGGTCTCTCTCCAGAGATCCCCAGCACGGAGCGGGAGAACAGGCTCTCCCATCGCTTCTCCAATAAAGTTGTCCTGTTAGTCCTACTCGGAAGCGGACTGGAGGACACAATCCCAACTAGGAGCAATCCCAAGAGCAGAACGGCAGTCCTTGGCCAGTGTTGCGCGTTGGCCTCGCAGGACATACTGATGAGGAACCTTTGCGCAATGGCCATCGGGTTTACCTTCGGGGCACGTGGTCAAAATTAATGGCACTAAAAATACCCCTCTTCTAGTTTTTCTTCCCTCGGCATGGTGGTGCAGGCTTAATTTAGCGAGGCAGGTCAGGACTTCGGGCATACGACGGTGGCCCGAGATGAGAGCAGCAGAAGAACGGGCAGAGAGCGCAGAGACACAACTTGAGGTGGAGAAGGTGATGATCATGTTTTGCAGCTCCGAAGCCTCGTGTCGTGGAGAATGCCACTCATCAAAATCTCTATCTCACCTCAAGAATCCACCCTTACATGACATCATATTGGGGAGGGGAGGCAGAAGAGAGAGGGAGAGAGAGAGAAAGAGAGAAAGTTGCAAGCGGCGAGAAGAACTGGCCGGTCTGATGATGATGGGACGCTGCTGTCACTCCACGTGTGAAATGGGGGTCGCACGCTGAGCCTTATTGGACGGCTTGTGCGCGATCATGGGATGCGATGGGCACTCTGGCAGCGCCCAAATCGGGACGGTGGTCATATGTCTGACAGCCCTGCTTCCTTATTTAGAAGGATGGTGTAAAAACAGTCCACTTGTCATCGGAGAGCAATGGCACCCCTGTCTGTCACATCCCAGGCTGTTTGTGCAGGAAGTTTACACAACGAACCAATTCCAGAATATTGCGCTCCCTCAACGCTTGCCGATCACATAACGTCCCCTCGTCTCGTGCAGCGTGATGGTTTTATTTTCCGGGAGGCTGCCTGTCTCTTGATGTGACGGTGATGATGCTGAGAAAACGCACCTTCACGAATGTTCGGACCGCGCGCAATGTCCGTACGTCAGCTGATGCTGCGCTTCGCTACGCGGCTCCCCAGGTGCGCATCGAGTACAGCGAACACGGACTGGATGACGCTTGGGGAGGCGCTGTTGTTGGCAGTGAGAAAAGCGCCAATCACATTATTATATCCTCTGGAATGTCGAACAAAAATGAATCATTAGGCTACTCCGAAATCAACAAATAGCCTACATTCTAAATAATAGCAAAATAAAACCATTAAGTCAAATAAGTGACAGGCTGTCAAGAGGGATGGGAAGTTATTTTGATTAAAGATTAGGAGGGCACATTCATTAAAAAAATAATGATAATGTGCACGGATAAATCTTTTACAATAAATACTCCCATCGCCTATTCCACAAAAAAACAACGAATAGCCAGTTTTGATTTCATGGTGACCTTAATAGAATCCTTTAAGATTGACAGCCGTCATTCAGGTTAATTGCTCTAAGAAGAACTGCAGTGTGTAGCAATAAAATTAAAAGTCATGACTTGAACATTTATCGCCGAGTAGTCATCAGCTGTCACACATCTTGACAAAAGTGACTGTCTAATTAGCAAAGAATTCTAAAATCAGTGAAAAACCTAAACCCTTCTGACTCCCTCGCCACCAACATGAGCAGACCAGCATTCAATGTTACAATAATCAGCATCAGTGATGTCTATGCATGTGTAAAAAAAAAAGTCGATTTTTCCAGGAACACAATCATGAGGCTCTTTTAATACCCTATACAAATCTGGTTGCATTGCATTAAAGCTGGTGCACTGCACAGCAAACCCACCCCGTGGCACAATTCATATGATTTCCACACGTCCATGTTGATAACAGAGCAAAACTAAGATCAAAGCAGAAACGTGTGAGAGTTGCATTCAGCTGTCATTACCTCTCAAGTTCAGACAGATTACGCCGCACCCAAATCATCTGCTGCACATCAGCTTCAGTTTACCTGGGATAGGATTCAACAGCCTGTGACTCACTCAATCATTTCTCTGAGGAAAAAGCAGAAGCTTTGATTAATGAATGACGTCCAACAGCTTCTAATGGTGTTTGTGAAAATTGTTAAGAGGCAGAACATGGCACATACAGACACAAACAAACACTTTCGAATATAATTGTTTTGAAGAATGTAGTAACTCCACAGGGCCTTGTGCAAGGCGGGGTTGTCACAAACCCGGTAACTGGATCTACTGTGGTTTCAAACCCTTTCAATTAGATTTTTATTAACATGGGTTTAGGTGGTATTGAAATGACAGCTGAGGAGAGCCACTGAAATCCAGGAGAGAATTACTCACGCATGAGATCAGGAGCATCATCGGACGTTTAACATTTAACACGCCGCCCAAATGGCGTTCTCTTCAGCAGGATATGCTCCACTTTAATATCTATTCATCCAGCCGTTCATTAAAAAAACGAGCTGTGAGCTCAGGGACTAGAACAATCTGCGTGATGGCACTCTGCTGAAAGTAAAGCTGGCAGTCTGTTAAAGTGTCCAGTGGAATGGCAGAGATGGATATGAGTCAGGCCTGTGATCTTGCTGACACAGCTGATCAATAATTCAACATTGAAAAGTGGCACGGCCGCCTTCAGTTCACCTTTTATTTTTCTTAAAAAGCACAAAAAAGCCGCTCAAAAACCAGACTGGTGTGAAATAATGGATTTTATCACAAATGGTTGATTGGAGCAATTTTTTGTAAATATTACTTCACAAATATATACAAATTGGCAGCTACGAAACGCTACAGGTTAAACACAATAGGTGTAAATGTATATGTACACACACACACACATATGAGGAATTTTATATAAAATTATTTAGGTTATACATCACTTACATTACACTATTCGAAAGTTTGGGATCAGCAAGATTTTTTTGAAAGGAATGAAATTATTCAACAAAAAAAAAACATTATTATTATTTATAATATTTTTAAATGGATCACTGTTTCCACAAAATATTAAAATATTATTATGAATGTTGAAAATTGTTTTTATAAGACATTTTAAGATAATAAAACGTCCATATCAACCATATAAGCAAAAATGACTAAAGATAAACATTACATTTGTGTTTAATTGGTTTACAATTTGTATTGCTGAAGTAAGCGTGTTGAACTTTCTTCTCCTAAATCCTATTCTTCTTCAATCCAGAATGGATGGTTTATTTTAACTACAGAACAGGTGTCAATTTGCATTTCCTTCAGGCTTTGGATTGGCCTTTACATTTGCAAAACATAGAAAACAGACAAATGTTTTGTTGTTATTAAAAAAAAACAAGCAAGCCCACCCAGGTGTGGAAAAGTAACGCGAAAGTAATGTAACGCATTACTTTCCATAAAAAGCAACTATTAGTTCATTTTTATGGAGTGACGCAATATTGTAATGCATTACTTTTAAAAGTAACTTTTCTCATATCCCAGTGATGTAAAGTGGTTTCTGCAGTGGTGAAGTTCCCCTTGTGGCAGGGATTTTGTGTGCCAGGCCGAGCTGCAAGAACAGCACTAAAAGCACAGTGTGTTCATGAGCTGACAAGAACTCAAGAGAGAACATCTGACCCCTGCAGAGAGCAGGAGCTCAGCTCTGCGCACACTATTAGCACAGCTGAAACTCACAGCACAATGACTCAGGTAAAATTTCTGTCCACCTTAAAAACAAAGGTCACTTTACTTCTGCTGATCGAGTTCAGAATCCTGATTATTTTCCAGTGTTTAAGCTTTTTGCGCTGTTGTTTCTCTGAACAGCCTGATGCTCTCTGCTTCTTTTTCTCGTGAGCTGAAAAGTGCAGAGTCATTTTATTCAATCTCACCTCTCAACATTCATTATATGAGTCACTGTGTGAGTCTCAGCGTGACATCAGGCGTTGAGTATGGATCGTCCTCACATGCACTCTGATCTAGTCAGACGCACGATTATGAGATATTGTGTTATAAATAATCAATTGATACTTCAATAGATGAAAAAAAGGGACGAATACAATGTACCGCAACATCCCTACCATAACAACCCCTAATATAAGTATATATATATATATATATTCAGACATCAAGGCGCAACAGCCCACATCTTAAAGTGGGGTAGGTCGAAATTTTCTAAAAAAAAAAAAAAAAAAAAAAAGCTTTTTCCCAAATTTGTTTAACCTGTCTATGTATGCCAATACATAATTAAAATGTAATTACTTACATTTTAAGAAAGTTCAAACAAATTTGTTTGTTTTGGGAAAAGTTTGACAAAACAAATTTTAACCAGCATTGCTACTAAGTTCACAGATCCTGTCGGAATAACTTGTTTGCACAGAAACAGGCTGCACTAAAGTGACCAGTTTAGGCAATTTATCTTTTGGAGCATTTCGGTCTGGCAAACAATAAAGGAAAAGCAGAATGATGTCAGCGGAGGGATTCTGCTGAGTCAGCAAGACGCAACCCCAGCGTTCCCCCAGCATTCCCTTGAACTCTACACCAGCACCCGGCTCCCACTGCCCAGCCCTGGAATGAAAGGCATTCAGTTAGACATCCTTACGCCACTTTACACATTCTCACTCCCTACAGACGAGAATGGTGTTGCCGACTCTGATGCGGGTGTGATGGGTGTATCCATCTCTTTCCATTCTGTCATTTCAGCAATAGAGGGACCAACTGCACCAAAGGACAAGTGGTCGCGGCTTTAGTGGGCAGATGAGTAGACCAGGGGCATTTGTTTGATGATGGGACACACACACACACACACACACATGTTGCGTTTTCATGTTTTATGGACATAATGATTTTTATACTGTACAAACAGAATAAAATCACAGAAAACTTTCTGTATTTTTACATTTTCAAAAACATCACTTGGTACTAAAAACTGTTTTCCTCATGGGGACCAAAAAACATCCCCATAAAGACAAGGATTTCAGATATTGCCAACTTTGTGTCCCCATTATGTAGGCAGGGTTTACCAGGCCACACACAAAAAGTGAGCGAGGGGTGCCAATAGTCACTGCAGCAGCAGCAATCATTTACATAATAAATATCTCATTATGGAGACAGTAACTGGAGTGCATTCATTAATCATCATTAAAGATAACGCTCTCTAGATAATCATTAAGATTTGCCAAACCAAAACAGCTCTTGAATTATATAAAGCCATAAAAAGGTCACAATGACTCTAGATGGAGCAACAGACTTTGTAATAGCAACAGTTGGATTATTTCACATTCTTTTCTTTTTCTTTTTAGTGTCTTTGAAATTAGTGTCCGAGACAAAAACAGCTTTTCCATAGGGGCTACTGAGGGGGGAAAAAGAGTTGCGATAGTCTTCTCCCCCCTATCCGAATGTGAAACGGCTTCTCAAACAACACAAAAGTGACAAGTTGCCTTGCCCTAACGCCAGGCATGACAGAATGCCTTCTACTTCAAAATATTCAATTAAGACAACAATTAAGAGAACATAGTAGCCTCCTGAAAGTTTAATCATTTCCTTAATTAAAAAAAAACAATGATCTTCATTTTTGATGGGAAAACAAAAGCCAACATTAGTAGTAGGCTATTAGAAATGTATTTCTGTAATCTTTTAGTTAGTTTTCTCTATATATATTATTCTATCCTGTTTTTTAGGCTAGAACGTGTGTGAGCTTGAAGATCTGGTGTAGCCTTTAATAGAAATGTTTGCACAACAGGATTGATTTTGGTATACCTTTCATCACCGCTATCGCCCTCTGCTGGTGTAAAGTGCGGAGAGATTCTGTCCAGTGGAACCGCTATTAATTTACTGCATTGCAGCACTGGGACGTTGTCACTCATTTTGGCATGGCATCTGCACAGATCACACCCAGCAGAAATATGGAAAAACTTATCCAATAGATGTCCTAAACAAATATAAAATATATACATTAAACTTTTCAGAATGCAACAACAGAAAACTTCAGAGTTGCTTGTAAAATCAATATTATACAAAAGTTATAAAGGCAATCAGGCATTCTCTAGTCAACTAAAAGAGTAAATTTCCATCTTAGTTCTTTTTTTTATTTCCCA